AATTGGTATCAGACATATGGGCTAATATTGGACTTGTGGACTTGATCTGGACTGGGCTAGGATGTTTTCTCAATATTCAACTGCTCTTGTCTATAAAGCTCTTTCCTACACACACGAGTGTCCCTGAATTTGTTTCTCTAGTCTACCCGGACTGACACAGGACCCGGCAGGACAGAGTAGAACTGTTCTCTAGAATTTCCAAGACTGTTGGTCTTTATCGAGGCTCACTGTCTCATCTTTCTTCCACAAAGTGGCTGGGAGATTCAAACCGATGACCTTTCAGGTGGCAAGTTGGGGGCTGTCACTGCCTTCCGTGGTATCCAGACTCCTATTCCAATGGCAACGGAGGAAAACATTCAAACACAGTCCCATGTGTGCCTTCTTCCCTTAAGCTGGGAAACCGTCTTTGGCTTCCAGGAGGAGCACCCTGTTCGGGCTGTTTCCCTCCTTTGTAAAGATCCCCCACCCTTCCCCAGATGGTGTCTGACTTCAGGGAAAGCCTCCGTATGTTCTAACAGAGCTCATAGGCCTCTGGTTCCCCCAAGCAGCCTGCTTTGGTGGCTGCTGAAATGGGACTTGTTATGACTAACCTTTTGGGAGAAGCCCATTTCTGAAGTTTAAGGTCCACAGACCACATGGCTGATTCCACCCACTGATTGGTCAGCAGATGATGGGGTTGGAGAAGCCGCCTTGAATAGTCTGAGTCCTGGATCCCAGGCAGGGCCTTCCTGGTGCCCCTCGCCTCATCCTCTGCTCACCTTTCTCCACGCCAGCACCTCACTGGAAGCCAGCCTTGTTTCTTGAGCCAGAATGGTGGCCATGGCTCCTCCTGGGTCTCTGTGCCTCGACTCTTGCTCTCCGTGCTGAGACCATTCTGGCAACACCAGCCAGAAGGGACTCTTTTCAAATCCAAGTCAGATCTTGTCTCAAAATCCTTCCTGTCACAAAGAAAATCGGGGGAAAAGCCCAAGGCCTTCCAGTGGTCTACAATCCCCCTCTCTTGGGGTCCAGGTATCGTTCCTCACTGCTGCTGCTAGAACACAGCCCAAGGCGGTGTGAGCTCGGGCCGGACCCTTGTGGGGGATGCAGCTCACTCCCTCACACTCTGGAAGGGTTTCCCCATGTGTCACCTTCTCATGGACATTTCTCCCCACCTAGAACTCACAGTTCCCGCTCCCCATGCTCCCCACTTCCCTGCTGTGTTTCTCCAGGAAAGGTCAAGCCCAGCCTACCACCTGATTTTATCAGTAAAAGGCTGACTGGGGGATAGGCATTTACAGACCTTATACGTTTTGTCTTTCATGCTACCAGCTCCGCTGTGGGTGGCGGGGACAGAGACCAGCTCTTCTTGAGAGTCCGCTCCCCTCAAGTGGGCACTACAGGCGGGCGGGAGTCTTCACAGGCTCTGGTCCCCCAACGTGGGAACAATCGCCACGTGGCTTAGTTATTTGTTGTCTTGCTCCAGCACGGACACAGGGCCGAAGTGTCTCAACAGATGTACCAACAGCGGCACCTGCTTCCTGGGACCCACCGGCGATCCCATGTGTGCCCGATTATAGAACAGTCTTTGGCTCCTTGAGGTTGTCCGTGACTCAGTCGGACAAAGGTTGATTGTCAGGCCTTCCTTCCAAGGAGCCTCTGGGTGGACTCCTTCCCCCACCCCCCAACCTTTCGGTCGGCTGTGGAGAACATTCTACTGCTGGCACACCCAGGGGCTCCTCTGGCACATGGGAAGTAGGTGTCACCACACACAGGGTTGAATTTCAGCCCTAGCAACACAAGAGCAGACGGTGTCTTGCCTGCTGCTGACCTCCCTCCCTCTGTTCTCTGTCCTCCCACCAGCACGTACACCGATGAGAGGATGAGGAAGGTGGAAGGAGGGACCGAAATCTTGCTCCGCCCCTTCACCCCCTGGCACAGCTGCATCTTCTCGCCCTTGCTCCCCCAGGCCCGAGTGTAAGCACAGCCCCAGGGTCCTGTGCCTCGCTAGCTGCTAGCTCGGAATTGACACCGAGGTGGAGTGACTCGCACATGGTAATGCGGTGGGGGGTGGGGGTGGGAAGACCAGGGAGGCTGCACTTTCATTCCCGAGAAAGGCACGTGGCGCCTGGAGCTGGCAGAGCCATTTGGCATATAATCCTAACAGGAAGCAGACATGCTGGTGGAGAGTGAAGTGGCAGATTAGCTGGGGTCGTGGCAGTCCATTTCTGACCAAGCCAGGCACTCTCATGTTCAAGAGCTCGCAGAGCGGATGAAGGCTGTCTGGAGCCTCTCTGAGCTGGGGCGGGACTGGGGTGGGTGGGAAGCCAGGGCTGGGGACAGACGTGTTCTCCCCAAGACACCGAAAATAACTACCCAAAGAAGCTGGTACAGTCTCTGAACCCTCAGGCATGGACTCATCATCATTATCATCCTCATCATCGCCAGGCGTGGGGGGCGGGACGGGCCGCAGACAGTTCTCTGTTGTTTGCGAGTACACATACCTGTGCATTGTGGGGTGTTTACAAGCACCACTCCCCCCAAAACTGCCCCTCCTCCTTCCAAAGGAAAACACTGTGGTCAGGGCAGGGGAAAGAGTACAATGATGTCTAGACTTCTCTGTCTGATCATTTGTCAGATGTTAGACCCCGAGGGTACGCACATACAGTAGAAGACCTGGTGACACAGTGAGTGGTGCTTTGGACGGCTAACCAGGTCAGCAGTTTGAAGCCACCAGCAGCCATTCCTCGGGGGAAAGATGAGGCTCTCTAATCCCATGAAGAATCTCAGAAACCCACAGGAGCAGTTCTGCTCCATTCAAGAGAGTCGTTGGTAATAAGTTTTTGGTTTGTTTTTTTTTAAAGGTGGGCAAAAGGAGTTCTAGTGGCACTGTGGGCTAGGCATTGGGCTATTAATGACAGGGTTGGCAGTTCAAACCCACCAGCTGCTCCTTAGGAGAAAGAAGGGGCTGTCTGCTCCCATAAAGATTTACAGTCTCAGAAACCCCACATAGGGGTGCGACTCAATGGCAGTGGGTATGGTGTGCATGGAGACAGGGGTGGTAGGATTCAAATCTTCCCAAGGTTGATTTCTTGCCACTGCCCCTCATGTCTCTCAATGGAGGCTTGCATGTTGCTATAAAGTTGACCAGGTTTTTAGCAGGAGAAGAAGAAAGGCCTGGTGGGATTTACTTCCACCAGTCAGCCAATGAAAACATGACGGATTACAATGGTCAGATCCCACTGTTTCTGGAATCAGCTGCCATGAGTTGGGAGTCAACAAGAGCTGACAAAAGTGGTGTCCCTGTTGATCTTGGCCAGCCTACCTAAGTCAACCCCACCAGGGTCGTGTGAAGTATGGGTGTATTTATCTCCATTTTGCAGATAAGGAAGCAGATGCTTAGAGAGGTGTACTCGCCCGCCTGGCAAAGGTCACAGGGCTCAGCACGCCACTGCACTCGTGTGTGAAGCCAGGTGTGTCTAGCCTCTGAGGCCATGCTCTCACCAATAGATGAACCACAGAAAATGTACGCAAAAGCCTCACCCCTAAGAGGGGCAAGTACTTGGAGGGTCCTTGTACTTGGGGAGCCAAGTCTCAAGGACTTGTAAAGCGAAATAAGGTGAGACAGTTAAGTTGTAGGGTGAAATAGCAGTTCTTGATAAGATCATTGAGCTTACGAATGGAAGATGCAATCCTCACCACATCTTCATTTGACATCCCAGCCTTTGATGAAGCTCCTCCCTCTTCCCTCCCTTTGATATGATGACTGGCATCTTGGGAGACCAATGCATTCAAGACACTCCAACCTGCAACTTTTGCGATCTGTCCTGAAACCATTACCTTGCAAACACTCAAACTCCCACGGCCATCAAGTTGATTCCAACTCATGGGTTTCAAAGAGTGTAACCCTTTCCTGGAGTAGAAAGCCCAGTCTTTCTCCCACATCTTGCACAAGCAAACCTCAATTTTCTTGTAATAGCCTTTAGAAACATCTACACTTCTGGTGCCTGTGTGTCCTGTGAGCAAGCCCACTGCACCCCAAAGGCACAGGGCAGGGATCTCTAGACTTCACCTTCCATCAAACTCACAGGGGGCACATGAGCAAAAGCCTGTTCTTGGGCCTCACCCTTGGCTCTGCTGGGCTGAACAGCAGAGTCACAACTAAGGACACGGAGGCCTGAATCAGCCACTGACGTGACTAGTGACTAGAGAGAGGACCTTGCCCATCGTTTCCTCGAGCACCATGGGAGAAACCTGCAGCCCAGGGAAGGAGCAGGAGTTGCCAGGAGTCACCCAACATGTTGTCGGCAGACCCAAGACTGCAATGTAGGTCGTGACTTTATACCTTGAAATAATCATTTCCCAGAGGAACTGGTACTCGTATTGTCACCGTGGTTACTGTTTCTTCACTCTTCTTCATCCCGAACGGGGAAAACCCACAGTTGCACATCCGATGGCTATCACAAGCTCTTAAGACCCCAGTCATTCAACTCCAGATGCAGAACATTGTCTCCTAAGTTTGGGATAGAATTTGCCATAGATAGAGGTATGAAAGGTCAGAATTTGGGATAGGTAGACTATAAACGGCTAGACTTTTTCTGTTGTTGCTTTAGAGTTTCTAAATGGCTAAATTTCTTCTTTGGTTTCTGTCTGCTCGTGTTGTCTACTCCCGTCGGTTAGTCTGTTTCTGGAAATGTGTCCTTTTTTTCTTCTTCTGAGTTTTCAAACATGTTGGAGTATGGTCCTTCGTAGGATTCCACTATCCTTTCTGTTCCCGTTAGCTCTGGTGTACTTCCACCCATTTCATTTCCTGTTTCTCCTGTTTGCACCCTTTCCTTCTCTCCCTTTGTAAGATTTGCTAGTGGGTTGTCAGTTCTACTAGTCCTTTGGAAGAACGGGCTTCTAGCAGCATTCTTATTTTCTCTGTGACTCCTGCTTCCCTTATTTAAGCTTTAGCCCTTGGCATGTCTTCCCTTCTGGTGACTGTGGGTTTATTTGGTTGCTCTTTTTCTAATAGGAAATTTGGGATGAAGGGATTGCTTTGGGTCCTTCTTTTCTGACATGTACATTTACGGCTATAAATTGCCCTCGCAGCACTGCTTTTGTTTGTCCCGAAGGTTGTAGTATGTTGTGTTTCCGTTTCCACTGGATTCAAGACGTTTGTCATATCGTGTTACCAAGAGAATACATCAGTGCACTACTGCGCTTCCAGGTTTTAATTCTTCCCTTGATCTTGCTGATATTTATAATTGCATCGCACTTGGATTTAAGACTAGGTCTCAGAGTATTTCAATGTTGAATTTATTAATGCTTGTATTGTAGGCATGGTCTAATCTGGAGAATGTTATGTAATAGAAAGCCTGTCTATGGTACCGTTGGTGTCGGAGTGCTCCCTGTATGGCTATGAGGTCAAGCTGGCTGCTTGTGCTGTCTTCTGTGTCTTTATTGTTTATTTCTAACTGTTCTGCCCACCAAAAGTGGTGTATTAAAATCTACTATTATTGTAGAGCTCTGTCTTTCTTCTTCCTTTCTGTTGAGAGCTGAATATTTGTATTTTGAGGCCCTTTTATTGACATATATTTATCATGGCTATGTCCTTGTATTCAACTGACCCTCTAATAGTTACATAATGCCTTTGTCTCCTACATCGCTTTTTGTCTTGAAACCTGTATTATCAAAAATTAATATATCGCCGATTTTTATTGATTGCCATTAGCACAGTATTTTTCTGTACTTCGACTTTTAGTCTAGTGTTGTCTTGGTGTCTAAGGTGTGTCTCTGGTAGAGGGCAGGTCGGTGGATCCTGTTTTCTCATCCGTTCTCTCCACTGACTGGAGCATTTAATGGTTTTGCATCATTGTCATTGTCCACAGAAGTGCATCTGTTGCTGTCACTTTGCCGTGGTGGAGCCGGGGGACCCTGTTCCACATCAGCTCCGGGGCTGCGTTCATTGTGCCCGTGAGTGTGCCCGTCATTCCCCAAGTTGCTGCTGTCTTAGTGTCTGTGAGTCCATACATGATTTCCCCTCTTTTCTATTCCGATGAGGGGTTTATTCGCTTTTTTGTGTATTTCACCCTGCAATTTATTATTCTTTTCTTCCAAAGTATGAAACAGTCTGTTCTACCTTGAGGGTGGGACCAGCCCCGTGCTCAAAAGTTAGAGGAACAGGGGCACCACCCTACCTGTCTGGCCACCAGGCACTTCTGAGTGAGTGGTGCCAACTCTAAGGCCCTTGCCCCAATGGGAAAGCTGCTTGCAAAGTTCAAGATGGCCATGCTCTATCAAGCCAGCTCTAAATCTCAATTCTGTTGTCCCGCTCATCATGTTTGTTCAGTTTCTCTTCAATACTCAATCCTTTCCTCTGAAACCCCGGGTCCAAAGAGTATCATCCCTCTCTGCTTCCTCTAGGCTCTAGTGTCTTTATTGTAGCAGGTCCAGGTAGCCTGTCAACCTTGTCCTCGATTCGCTGTAAGTCCCTTCAACCTTCTCTTGCTGCTTCCTACATCTTTCAATATGTTACCAAAAAAGACGCAAAACCTACTGCCATCAAGTCTACTTCAATTCTTAGGAACCCCTATATAGGGTTTCCAAAACTGTCAATCTTTACAGGAACAGATAGCCTCATCTTTCTCCTGGTGGGTTTTGAACCAATGATCTTGAGGTCACCAGTCCTGCCACTTCCCCTACTGCTCCATCAAATTCTGCCTGGGAAAAAGTAAGTGCTCTATGGGAAGTGCTCAGTCTCTTGTTGTGATAGTGACTGTTTTTCATTATCCCAGCAGTTCGGCATATGAGGCTAGTGCCCACATGATCATGTCAGGGAAACATCAAACCCCAATCAATTCATTCCTGTCTTCTTGCTTTGAGTCTCCAGCAAGGTATTGATCCTGTGCTGGGGGAACCAGAGTACCTGTGGTACAGGCTCTGTAGCTAGCAGGTTCAGCAGTGAGAGAGGCAAGTAAACTGAAGACCTGGGAGGAAAGGAGAAGAAAGGGGAGGGAAAGGGAGGCAGATGGGAAGAAGGGAGGTCCACAGACGATAGAGAGTTTGTTGCTGGCTTCTAGTTTTCCTAAGACCCGACAGACATGGCCACCCCAGAACATGGGGAACAAGTGAAAACAACGGATGCCTCTAAGCAGGGACACTGAGAGGCATATCTGATTAGCATCATGGATGGATGTACTTGTGAGAGTGTTTTCCTGGAAATGGGGAGGGTGGATTCCTTCCTGTCCTTGTGAGCATCATCAGGCCCAGGAGCCCTGGGGACTTCTGATGGGGCAGCAGGCAACGGCAGAGAAGAGCAATTACACAGGCTTCTAATGGATGGACCATTAGCTTAAGGGAGAAACCACTGGCGGGAGGAGGCAGGGCTGCTCAGGAAATAGTTAACCCACTCCTGACCTCACTCGCCACTCACTCTGAGTTGGCTTCACGGGCACTTTGAGCATAGGGCCACAAGAGGGTAGGTGGACCCTAGGAATAAACAGACCCAGGTTTGATCCTCGTTCATCACCTAGCAGTGTGACCAGGGACAATACACTGCACCTCTCTGAGCAGAAGGGAGAGGGAAATGACATCTCTGTAGAGGGGGAAATGACACCGCCATAGGGCTGTCCTGAAGACTAAATGCGACCTCTTCAGATCCTGTCATCAACAAGCTGTGTGGCCTCTGATGAGTAACTAGCCCTCTCTGAGCCCCAGTTAGCAGGTAATACTGTGCAGCCAGCTCTGCAAAGAACGGGGTCATGTGTGTGAAGTGTCCGAGTTGACGCCTGGCTGGTTGCAGGGGCTGAGTCAGGTGCAGCACGTCAGACAGCATAGGTCAGAGTTCTCGTGCAACTATGCATGAGCTACAGCTTCAAATAATGTGCGCAACGTTTTTCGGGTGAAGGACATACGTTAATACACCCTGTCCAGTGTCGAGGCGAATAATACTCTTAAGTGCACTCAATTCCTCTGTGTCCCCAGACTTTGGGGATGCGCTATAGTTGTGTGTATTGTACAAACGAACCCCACGGCAACTGAGTCAATTCTGACTCAGCGACCCACAGGACGGAGGAGGGTTTTGTGTGGCGGGAGGTCAGATGCGCAGGCATTCCCCCACTGAGGGCAATCAGTTGCCAGACTGCTGTCTCATCCCTCCACAGGGGTGGGCCTGCTCCCTGCCTCTGGGGACAATGGACAGGCTCCTGTAGGAGGAGTTCGCATCCTACTGATAATGGTCTCTATCAGTTGGGCCTGGGACAGGCCAAACCGGCTCGGCTGTCCCTCTTCCTATTGCATGTATGCCCCTGGACCACCCCCTCATTACTGTGTAACCTATAGTGCAGCCCCTTCCTGTGACGTATGTCTCTACCTGTAATTAGTGGGCTGGCTTGCCCCCAAAAGGTATATAGGCATGAGTGTGAGTCAGCAATGTAGATCTCTCTCTGGCTCTGAGCTCCTTGATGCTCACTCCCTGGTCACTTCCCTCTCCCTTGTTCCCTTCCCCTCCTTCCCTTCCCCCTCCCTCCACGTGGACCACCAAGCTGGGCTGAGGTGAGCAATGGTACCATGTAACATGCCTGACTGTATTATTGTAATATCTCTCATGCTCTTGATGACTTTAATATAATGCTTACATATCTCAACCGTACAATTGTGCATTACTGAACCCAGAAGTAGTATTACTGAACCAGTGAGTTCTAGTAGCGGGTGGGGCTGGCACCCCACTCCCCCGAGTCATTTTTTAATTTAATACTACAGTTTTGCATAAATCTTTATCCAAAAATAGTTTCCTCTTTCTCCCGATGAGCGAGTTCAAACTGCAGCCCGTCTGGTGAGCAACCAGCGCTTGCCCCCTGTGCCACCTGCTCTCCTTAGCCAGGGAACCCTCCTTCCACATGCCAGCTACGGTATTCATTTCCTTCCAATTTGCCTGAGCTCAAAACTCCCAGCGGAAGGCCCCTTGTTGGGCCTTTCCCCCCAACACACACACAGACTCAAGGTAACACATAGAGACTCAAGGCTTAGCCTCCTCTCCTTTCCCATCATGGCTCGGCCTGACTGCTTCCAAGCCTCAGAGTCCTCCTCTGCGAAATGGGACTCCTGAATGCCTCCTAGGGCCATTGTGAAAGTCTACTGAGACCAGGTATGTGTCTTGGCAGCTCTCTAAGCCGGGGGCCGGTGCACGGGCAACGACTGTCTACCTCAACGGCTGCTGTTCTGCTGCTTCCTCCTCACAGGTCCCTCTCTGTGTCTGCAGGGAGCCGCTCTTCCGCCAGCTCTGTGCCCTCCACTGGCTCCTGGAGGCCCTGACCATCGACCACACCCACCACACCATGAAGCCTGTGATCACCTGCTGGAATCTCAAGTATGCCTCAGCCCCGCCCTTCCTTCCCTCCTGCGGCAGTGGCAGTGGTCCTGCTATGGGTGGGTTGAGGAGTTCTTGTGTGGGCTCAGGGGGGATCCTGACAACGCCGTCACCAGCTCCTCCAGGTTGGTGAGAGGTCTCTTCTAGCTTTGCATCCCATGATACCCCAGTTAGTAGCTTCAAGTCAGCCACCAATAGTATGTTCCCCCAGGGGAATCAGCAACGGCACATCAGCCGGGTGGTGTCCGTTTAAGGCTGAGTCCACGATGGCACAATGACCAGCGCTCCACTCGACTCAAAGCCGGAGTTCTAATTCTCTTCTTCACGGTCTCCAGAAGCTGGTTTTTGTTGGCTCCTCTTCTTTTTCCTCTTCTGTCTCCCTCTCCATGTTCCCTGTACCAGTCCGTTGTTTGGGTTCTGTTTGTTTACCACCGCCCACCCCAATTTCTTCGAGATGTGTTTGTTCATGTTTAAAAGTATATCAGGGTAACTCTTTCTACTGGAATCCTGAAGGAGTCTAAATGGCTGGCATGCTTGACTCCTAAAGTTTGGAGGTTCAAGCCCCATCCAGGGATGCCTCAGCTCCTGTAAGATTTCAGTCCCGGGCAATGGAAATCCCTGGGGGCACAGTTCTGCTCCGACTTGGACACGGAATCGCCAGGAGTTGGCTCCACGATGGCTGCTGGCTGTTTCCTTCACGAGTCTTTCTGCTTGTACCCAAAGAAGCACCCAGGTGGTCTCTGGAGTGGCTACATTTGCTTAGGCAGAGGCTCCAGAGCAGCGGTTCTCAACCTTCCTCATGCCGCGACTGTCATACAGTTCCGCATGTCATGGTGACCCCCAACCATACAATGATTTCCGTTGCTACTTCATCACTGTCACTCTACAGATAGAGCTCACAGCACACAGAATCCAGGTCAGATAAACCCCTCAGGAACACAAATGGGAGTAGTGATACCAGGAGGGCTTGGGGAGCAGGGTCACCCCCTGCCCATGGGGATGAACAACAGAAACATGGGTGAAGGAAGACTGTGGTGAAGGGAGACTGTAAAATATGAAAACAATAATAATTTATAATTTATCAAGGGGTCACAAGGGTGGGAGAGTGGGGAGGGAGGGAAAAAAGAGGGGCTGATACCAAGGGCTCAAATAAAATGTTTAGAAAATGATGGTGGCAACCTATGTACAAATATGCTTGCTACAATTGATGCATGGAATGCTAGAAGAGCTGTAAGAGCCCCAATAAAATTATTTTTTTAAAGCAGGAGGTTGGGGTATCTGGGAGGTCTGTAGCCCCTCCAACTTGTTCCTGTCCCACGTCCCTGCCATGACCTAGCTATGTCTCAAATATCCTTTCTGTTTTAAAGCCACAACCGTAAAGCATATCACATACTATTTTAAGAAAACAGACTAGGCAACTATAATCTACTCAACAATCCATACTGATTTTCCGGAAGGAGACCTCCAGGCCTTTCTTCCACGCATGCAGGGGAGCGCCACTTTCAAGGCCCATGTCCTTCGCAGGAGGCCCTGCGTTGGACGGAGAGCTAACACCCTCCACTGCTATACCAAAGGCTGAGGGGCAGGCACCCAGAGGCATGCTGGGAGAAAGACCAGGAGATGGAATTCTGAAACACGGTTCCCCTCGGACACACAGCAGCAGCTGGCTTTTTGCCTGGGGTCCTTCCAGATATTCCTGACGGTGTTCCTCGTAAGTATTCGCAAACACTTTTTTTTGTTTACGTGAATTGGATTACACTCTGGACATGGCCCTGTAGATCATCTTTTTACCTTTGACAGTGTCTCGGGGATATCTTTATGACGCCACACACAAAAAGATCCCATATCCTCTTAGCAGCTGCAAAATATGCTATGGTATATGGACAGCCATTTCTCCACTGACAGACAGCAAGGTCATTCTCAAGTGTTTTACCATTTCTGGCAGGGCTGCACAGAATATCCTTGTCCATCTATTTTGTGCCCAGTTGAAAATATTTCTCTTAGCTGGATTCTAAGAAATGGAATTGCTGGGTCAAAGCAACAACCAATTTTTTTCACAGTCGATTGCTTAGATTCTAAGAAAAAAGGCCCCTGAGCCAGTGGGCTTCTAATAGCATTTCATCTCTTGAACAAGCCACAAGCAGCAACATTTTGCCTCCGACCCGAGGGCACTCATTCTCCCAAACTGCAGGAAGCAGCAGCTCAGGCAGAGTTTGGATGGAAGAATGAAAAGGAACCACCGTTTCTGCCTTTGGTGGGCCTGACAGCTGTGCCAAGAATGTAACCAACAATGACCAACAGAAGTGGGCACGCTGAGAACAGCGGGGGCTTGCCAAGACTTGTAAGGGCAAAACGCCACCAGGTCATGAGGATGCAAAAGAAGGTAGAGGATTCAACGATGGGGGGAAATGCAGCCCCCAAAAGATTCTCGCTTAAAGACAGAGTGCTGTGGTTTGGATTTTTCCTAGTTAGCTATTAGTTCAGTGTTCGTAGGGTGCTGACCAACATCAGTCTTCAGGAGTCAGTATGAGCAGAGGCCAGCACAACATGGCTCAGTGTTCATTTCTTTAAACACTGTTTATGAGTTCCTGGTTTTGTGGAGGGGGGTGGTTACATTCCTGAATGCGGGGAAAGCATCTCTTAGGCTAGCGAGGAGGTAGAGGGATGTTTTCTCTTAAATCTGTAATTTCTACTTACGGTTCATGTGCCTTAGTATTAGTCTTCCCAAGTCTTCAACTGCACGTTTTAAAGCCAGAAGGATTAAAGTGAGTCCGAATCAGATGGCTCTGGGTGGGCCTGGCATTGCCGCTGTGTGACCTCAGGCAAGTGACTTAACATCTCTGGCCTCTGTCAGATAGCTTCCTGCCTCATAGGATTTATCATAAGGACTGAGCAAAATATCATATAGTCAGCATTTAACCCGATGTCTGGGAATGCAATGCGTGTTCCCTGAATGATGCCTACTAAAGAGAAGGTTTTCTGTTTTAAAGAGCAATTAGCTCTTTGGTTATCGCTACCCTTGAGAGTGGGGGGAAAAAACTACTTCTGAGCAGAATTTTACCAACAAGTAAGACAGGTGCTTGCTAGGGTAATGGAGAAATATATAAATGGAGAAAAAGCACCCAAGGTCAGCCAAAATCTGGCTGCAAAGACAAACAAGCCTGGAAAGGATCCCAAGAGGTAAATAACCAATCCCTGGCTCCCGGAGTGTGCGTGTCTCATGAGTGAAGCATGCTGAGACAGGAACCCTGGGCGCCCACACCCGCTGTCTCCATTACCAGTGCTGCTCTAACAGAAACAGCACAGGTGGGTGGCTTTCAGAACAGAGGTTTAATCCCTCACAACTCCAGAGGCTGAAAGTCCAATTGCAGGCGTCGGCTCTGGGGGCAGGCTTTCTCTCTGGGTTAGTGCTCATTGGAAAGAGGCCTCTGCTCCTTTCAACATCTGCAGCCCTGGTGTTCCTTCCAGAGCCCCATGTGTCTTGACATCACCTTTCTCTGGGGTCTAGGAGGGTCTCAGCACAGGAACTCCTGGCTTTTTTGCTTGGTGGTAGTAGGTCTCTCCCTCACTTCTTGTCAAACAACAGGTAGTGCAAGGACACTCTCGACATCGGATCAGGGTTGTGAGGGGCTTAAGGCTATTGCATCCCACCCTTAGAACGGATTGATCTATCAGCTCACACCACAGGGGGCTGATGACATCATTAGAGAACAGCCCAATTACTCATCATTACATAGCAGCCAAATCACTGAGAACTATGGCCCCACCAAGTTGACACATTTGGGGGGACGAGGGGGATACAACTCAATCCATGACACCCGCCAGGTATTTTCCTAAAGGAAACATCCCTCCTTCATTTCTACCAGCCACAGTGATGGCAGCAGACTTGATCCCTCCCCTCAGGGATTTTATAGCAAGGATACGAGCTTGGCTCAGTATCTGTGCGTGGGCTCCTTACAGATAGCACGTTTCAATAGCTGGTAGTTTAGTCAGGCAGCTACAAGCAGAGAATGGCCTTCATTACTTGCAGAAAGACCCCTGCAATTGGAGAGATTGGACCAAGGGGGGGGCGGAGGGTGGTGAGTGGACACATGGCAGCTTTTAGGAGGTCACCACAGGCTGCACCTAAGTCTGCTTTGTTTAAAAAAAGACTTCCTAGTTTCACCATAATTCAAACACATGGTCACTTCCCCACAGCCTCATTAATTCTGCTGCCAACAGGAGTGCTTATTACAACTGACAAGATGACTGGGTCCACACAGCCGAGGTAGACACTGAGCCAACGTTAATGAATGTGCTAATTACCCTTCCCCGTGAGACCCGCACTTCTGTGGAGGCAAAGACAAAAACGCCTGTGTACACAAAGACCCACAGGTCTTTACACAAACCCTGGGGACCAGCTGTGTTTCCGACTCAGATTCTTTCACATTGTAGAAAGGAAATATGGGGTGTCTGCCAGAGGGTAACATACCACAGGGGATGGAAGTGGCGCCTGTCATTTCTGCAGAAAACGGGGTGAGCGTTTACCCTAAGCACACAGGAAGGAAAAAAAAAAGCCCTGCGTAGACGCCCTCACCAGTCCAGGTCAGCATGAGCTGCCAAGTAGGTGATGAAATTCTCTGGGCTGTCAAGACTCTTGGAATTTTAGAAGTAGGTAAAGGGTTTGGGGCCGTTTAGTCTTCTCATGAAAAAGTAACTTTCTCAGGACCAATTAGGACTAAGTAGAACTGAGCAGACCTTTCCAGAGAAGCAGACCACCAGGTGTTGCCGAGCGCCCACCCAGTGCTATGGAGTCCACTGCAGCCCAACACAGCCCTACAGGAAGGCGGGAACTGTCTGGGGCTTCCGAGGCTCTCCCGCTTGGCAGAAACAGACGGCCTGTCTGTCTCCTGAGAAACAGCTGGTAGGTTCCAGCCGCCAAGGTTTCTATTAGAAGCCCAATGCTTACCCCACCATGCCGCCAGACCTCCTGCATGTTACCTTATGTGTTAGTCTGGGGA